CACCCACCCAACAACCCACCCACCCACCCACCCAGCCACCCAACCAACTAGCCAGCCTGCCTGCCAACCAACCAGCCAACCAGCCAACCAGCCAGCCAGCCAGCCCTCAAAGCAGTGCCTTCTTTCCACTGGGGGGTGGCTTCCGTGAAAAGGAGGGGCGCCACCCAACGGCATTCTTTGTTGTTTATTGCCTGCAAGGGGGGATTCAACTCATGTCAATGCATTCAAGCGGCAGCTGTTCTTTCTGGATTCTGACCAAAAAGGAAACCAACCCTCTGCGAGACCAACGGCCCTACCCCCGCCAGGAGGCTCTCCAGCGGCACTTCTCCATCCTGCATGGCGGATTGGAACTACTCGGAATGCGGTTAATCCCGTTCTGCACCTTCCTTTACATTTTTACATTGCACTGGCATGGCACTAGATTGTATTATAATACCTCAGTTCACACTTGCATTGAATGGCATTGTACGCGCTGCATTGCAGTACATGACATGACACTACATCACATTTACATCTATACTTACAGGTAGGTGCATGTGTATATATGTAATAGCACACATATACGGGTATGGAGTTGGATGGCACAACTGTTGGGACCCTTTCAAGCCGGCACAGAATGATATCGACGTCCCAAAAGAGCCCCTTATTGTTGTCAACCTCCCACTTACAAACACAAGCTACGAAATGAACTTCATTCTGATGGTATCGCCGCAACCAATAGGCAGCCACCCACGCGGGTGGGCCCCCTTGAAGGTTTGCCACGCGGGCTGGGCCGCCGGCCGTGTCTAGGAAGAAGAGGTCGCCACGTGCGCGGGCCGCAGCAGCTTTGGCATCCTGGGCGTTGGTGCAGAACCTTTGAGCGGTTCAAACAAGCCTCGTGGGCCAATTGGAGCGCTTACAAACCCAGTAATTGTGTTCTGCCAGCTGGGCAAAAAGCTAAAGGCCCTCGTTACCCCTTCATCCAGGAGCACCTCGACCAAGCTAAGGGCTTTAAGCGCTTCTCATTTGCCGGTCAAAGCCAAACAGGCAGAACCGCGTCTGAGGACAGCTTGAAAGGGAGGCAACATGAAGCCAGCACCGCCCTAGTTTTAACATTCCCAGGACGGAAAAACTTGGGCAAGTTGAACACTGACCAGAGCTGATTGAGCAGAAAATGCATTAGGGATGTTAAAGGCCCGGCAAATGGCTCGGGCGCCGGCGACTTGCTCGTCCTCGCCCAGAAGGAGGCCAGAGAAGCTGACGAGCCTGGCACCGAGAGGAACCCAATGGTTGTGTGGTGAGTCAAAGGCATGGACAGCCAGGATTTCATCGCAAGTGGGCAAGTGATTACGCACAGCAACCCACCTGCACCGGCTACCACCCCATCGCCAAAGCAGTTCTGAGTCTCTTTGCTGCTCGGCTCTTGTCTGACTGCGATCGTGCCTCGCGAGATCTGAGTATGGCAGCTTGTCGGCCAAAGCCTGCCATGTGACAAGTATCACTGTGTCTGAGCACTTTCACTCCCCCACCTCTGACTCTGGCCTACCCCATGCTACTCTTAAATCGTGACACGTGCGAACCGGGCGACCCTCAACGAGCTGACAGCTCAGCTTGGACCCCATTGGAAAAATACACAGCGAATGTTGCAAGTGGCCTCGAAGCAAGTAGAATGCATGATATATATATATATATGTATTCCAAGGGGTCGTGAAAACCGAAGCTTCAGGACCACGGTGACCACTTCTACCGGTGATGTCGCTATGTGATCCCCAACCCCTCAAGACTCAAAGCCCTTGAGTCAACGGACACCTGCACCCTAGCCATGCCTCAATGAGCTCGGTGAGAACCTCAGTCGGGCTCACAAGCAGAATTCTCACCGATCAGCCTGCCCCCCAGCCCCCCAGCCCATCGCCTGATTGACACAAAAGTTGCACGGATTTGCTCCTCAGCACGCTGAGTCCCTGGCTGCTGCTGATCCCGATGTTTTCGCTTCAGCGATGCCAGTGTCCAGCTTCCGCATCAGGGCTTTGCCCCCTGGGATGGCGCGGCGGGAGTTTGGTTGCCATCGGATTGCCAACTGGTCTTAATCCGCAAGGGAATCGGCCACGCACATGGCATCAAATGGCATCATGCTCTGAGGTTCTTTTTGGAAACCTCACTGGCCTATGCCCTCTTGATTTCAAATGGTGTTTTTTGCCGCAGCCACTTGGCTAGCCAATACCAAGGACGCTGCGTCGCAGACCCGCGGCAGGGCCCTGCAAGGCACGCGATTGCCAGCGCATTCAAAGAGGCAAAGAGGCAAAGGGCAGGCTGAGTGCAAACGTTTTGATCTTTCTTTCAGACGGTCTCGACAGGTTGCTGAAAGAGAACCAGCAATTTCTATGCCCCTCAGTGAGCCACAAATGCTAGCTGCTAGGGCGCGAACCACCGTGGCTGAAGCACGCGAAAATTGCAATCCCAAAATGCTACTTTTGCGTGCGCATCTTGTGGTTCTTTTAGGCTGTCGTAAAAAACATGCCCCTGTGTGGAAGAAGAAAGAAAGAAAGAGATCATGTCAGTCAGGCCATGCTTGGAAACTTGGAAACACTTCGAGGTCGGGATGGATCAATGCAACGTGTTCAACGGGAGGAGTCCGGCGCACATTTGCAATTGTTGCTTTTGTTTCATGCACAATTCCCCCGTAAATTACAGTACATGTGCGGCAAGCTTCATCTGCTCGGCAGCCAGTGCGAAACCTGGTGGGGGGGGTTCAGGAGGGTCGGGGGTCGGGGGCCTGGGGCCTGCCTGCTTCCTTATGGACTTGGGAGCAGTCGTGAAGCTTGGAAGCGGTTCCTTAAGAAGACCCTGAATAGCTGTCATCATGACAGTGGCCCAGTCAAATTCCGCAATTGCCATCGTCACGCTAGGATAGTGTTCACAAGGAAGAGGGTGTTTGAGGAGGATGAGCATTCTCCTGGGTCTGTGCTCGTGTGCGTGGGTCATCCATGCTGATTGATTCTCCAAAGCAAAAACCCAGCCATGCGAATCTGCCGATGGCTCCTCTGCAATGCGCCGCAGCTCAGGCAACAATGGGCTCACCTGGTGCACCAGCAAAAATGTCATAATGTGAAATATGTGTAATGTATTTGCAATGTAGATGAAATGTGAATGTCATGTAATTCTAGTGTACATGCAATGTAAATGGAATGCAAATGAAATGTAAATGTCATGCACATATAGTTTACACGCAATGTAAACGTAGTGAAAATGTAACTAGCGCAATGCAATGTAATCTACTGTACGGTGCTGCAACGTAGTGTAAGTATGTGTACAACGTAGTGTAAGTATGTGTACGTCTCCGTGTCTCCGTGTCTTGGGGCCCAGCATCAAAGTCTGCGGCCAGAGAGGCCGTCAGGATCCTGCGAGCCTCTGACAGCCTCAGGATGCCAACTGCCAAGGGGAGAAATCCCAGGGGAAGTCATCTGGCAGACTGAGGAGATGTGGGCATGTGGCATGATCTCCTTGTGTTGGAGAATTCCACCCTTGAACCTTCTTCAAGGGTTTATGGACGCAAGGGATCAAGCCTGACTGTCCGATTGACGAACACACCTGCGTGAGTTTGCAGGCCAAGCACTGCCAACAAAAAAAACAACTTCGAAAACAAACAGTGCTTGTAATTCATCCACCTAAGGTTGGAAAATGCCAGTGTTGGCATTCAGGACATCTGGGTGCCTAGCTGAGACGCGTTGGTCATACTCCTTCAGGCGTCTGGACAACACGTGACCACGGGAACAATCTCATCCGACATTCAGAAAGACCCAGCAGTCAGTCCTGGCGCACTGTGCGAAGCGAAGAGAACTCAACAAGGCCTTGAGCAGCCATTGAAGACGGCTCAAAGGTGCTCAAGCATAGGTGTCCTTTTAGGGGATGATTAAGCCACCAGATAAAGCAGGGCCACCCATTTTTCGATCAAACCAACCAAAAAAGACACCTATAAAACGCTCAAGACCGCAGTCGACCACCAGCCGAGGCCAGTGCCAACAAATCTCCCCGCGTCCCGGTCAAGCGCACGGAACCTGGGCCAGCTTTGAGAAGTCTTGGCATGTGAGGGAGCTTAAAGAGTCAACAACTGCAGGGATAATGGTGTAGCCCGGGTGAGTTTAACACAGAAATGGATTTGTTTAGAGCCACCAAAAGTCAAGGACCCCCTCTAAAAGGGGACACAACGCTATTGATCAAGGAGTTCATGAATCTCGAGCTCTCTCCAAATGCTGTAAAAAAAAAAAAAAGATGCTTCCCAGTGGACCAGTGCAGCCCGCCTTTAAAGCCGATGCGCAGCAGCGGAAGCACCGATGGCACCTTTGTCTCGTGAGGATGCCACATTGACCCATTCGCAAGCGGGGGCTATCTGACGAAACACTTGGGCAGCTTCCATGTGCAAGGTACGTTGCATGCTCTGTGCCTCGAGCAATCCCAGCGGCCAACAAGTTCGGTCCCTGTTGCTTCTTCCCAAATGGTATTTAGGGTGCCCTTTCAGGTTGGTTGGCTTGAAGGAAAAACGACATGAAAGCTACCATTTGATCGAAACAAACCCGGCTTGCTCCACTCGACTTGGAGGTTGCAGAGTTCAGCCCCGAAACCTGAGGATGGCACCAGGCGCTGCGGCTCCTTGCCGGGTGTCACCAGAGACGTGGCGATCCGCACTGCCTGAGCGTTCGCAGTTGCTAAAAGGGGCTGCTGTGGTTGGGCTGCCTGTCGTGTTCATTGGTGCTGTTTGATGTCTTTGTTGGAGCAGACTTGAGCTCCTGTGCTGCTTGTGATAACGGTGCTCTGAACATGTGTTTGAAGATCCAGACATCCGAGTGGCTTTAGTAAACGGCTCCTCCCACATGTGCGCGGTTCCAGCAAAGAGCAATTGACAATGGAAAAGAATTGGAATCTGCCTAAGAGTGCTCAAAAGCTCATAGGTCATAGGTCAGTCTATTACCACTGTAGCACCAAGAACTGTCAACAACCAATGCAAGGATGCCGCAGGTGACCCAGGATTTTCTGGCTTCCTTGATTGATAGGGAGTGCTGAACCAAACTGTGGCGAAGTACCAAAAAAATGCAAGTGTCCTGCTTGCGGTGTTCGGGGCATTTAACCTGTCAATCTTCAACCACCAAAGAACCTGATTCCCAGGTAAGCTGATGCAAATCCTAGTGAGAAACCCAAAGGCCCGCTCAGGAAAGGTTGTTCGAGCCTTCTTACAAAGACGTCTTAGAAGGGTTCTACGAAATGTCCCTCCTGAGCTTGAGCTCCTCACGGTTCGCGCTGCTCGAGGCGATGCCAACAAGGCCGAAGCACAGCCCAAACGAGCCGCAGCCTGCCAAGGCTGGCGCCAACAAAAGGGGCTTTGCCAAGGAAAGACACATCAAATGGAGAGGGGGGGGGGTCTGCCAAAAGCAAATGCACGTGGCCTATCACGGCTTCCCGAAACCTCCACACATCATTGGAGGGTCTGGAAAAATTGTGAAAAAAACAAATCCCTTGTGGTTCCCCCCAAAAAGTGAGACCCTCAAAAAATGGGGTAAGTGTCTGTGCAAAGGCCGAGAGAGAGAGAGCGAGAGAGAGAGAGAGAGAGATTGAGAGAGAGAGAGGAAGAGAGAAGAGAGAAAGGGAGAGAGAGAGATTGAGAGAGACAGAGAGTTACTGGACAAAGCGACACCATAGTACATGACAAAATGCCGGAATGCCTTGTGCTAGCCGCCAAATCTGTCCCATGCAAATTTGATGTCATGCATTGGCCTTCAATAGCGTCTGGTTCTACCACAACGAGAATACAGGCTGGTACGATCCGAACTAAACCGGGTGGCAGAAGCCCTTACTCCAATGGCCAAGTGAGATATTTGGTTGTTCTCACATGCCCACACGCCCTTCAAACACAATCACATGGTACTTGACGAAGCAGATGATTGCTGCCCAAATGAAAGAACTGAGACCAGAGCACAGTGCTTTTGCGACACTCCAGCAATTCGCCCACGCGCAGGGTGTCGCAAGAAATGCGTCTGTGCACCGGCGGCCTCTGCGCAATCTTTCTCCGGGAGATCCTTGCTTGTGCCGCGCATCAGAATTGATTGGCAAATTGGACCAAGTTTTCTCTGGGCGCATGAGTTTTCAACGAGCACAAATAGCCACGGTACGCCTCAAGTGCAGATGAACTCCCAGGTCCCAAAGGCGATCACAAACCACAATAGAACCCGTAGAGGCAAACAAATCTCGTTTTCGTGATAGCCTTGAAGAAGCCATTCTGGCCATTGACGCCATGTGGAAATGCGTGGACATGCACCCACCCTCCACCGGCGCCGACTCACTCGCTCTAACGAACACAACACTTCAAGGCAAACTACAACACAGTGCATGCCTCAAAGCCAGCCAAAAGTGGACTGGCTGAGGCGGGCAAGGCGAAGCGTTTGCAATTATTGAAGTGGTCAGAAAACAACGAGCTTCTGCACCCCGTTGAAGTGCAACCAAATATTTGGTTTGGTCAATGTGGGTGTGTATGTGCACCTTGAAGCATCCGGCTTCATATGGCAAATCTAGGTCACTCTTTTTGCAGTAGTTCAAAGCAAACAAAATGGACACTATAATGGGAGCCCCTCAAAATGGCTTCGATTCAAAAAATCCACCCAAAGGGACATTCCCCGATCTCATCTCATTCCCAAACCAAGTGCGAGTGGCAATGGCTGGCTTTGCGGCAAAAAAACAAAACACGACGAGGAAGAAAGCGACCACGGGAAAAAAAGGAAGATTCCTTTTTAACAAAAAGAAAGAACAAACGTTTGGGGCCACTCTACATGGCTCCCTTCCAAAAAACAAATAAATAATCAATCAAACAAACGCACACACACACACACCCACCCACGCACGCATGCACGCACGCACGCACGCACGCACCCACGCACCCACGCACCCAGACACACACACACACACACAAGAAAGCAAACATCGAATAAACACGCAAACAAACAAACGCCAAGACCTCCGACCTCCCCCTTTTGGCGTTACCCGCGTCCTTTGCGCAGAGCGGCGAAACAGCCGCAAGGCCGAGGAAACGCTGCCAGGCCTCGGCCAGGTCAAAGACCAAGCGACGGGTGGGAGCGTGTCACATCCGTCCTCAAAGTGATTTGGGCACCTTGCGGGTGGTTGGCTTCCTTTTGTTCCCCTGCCTGCCCTTTGGTGTTCCTTCGATTTTCCTTTCATCCAAAATGAGGGTCCACAATGGTGGGGCATGTCCAGCTGTTCTGTGTTTGAGCCCCTGCTATGTCCAGAGGTATTTCCCCACTTCACCTTTCTGGAACGAGAAGGCCCGAGTTGTTTCTCGTTGGGCTGCTCCTCTTGCCTGACTCCTCGATTGTTCAACAAATCACTGGGACCCCGTCCCTTGGCTTCGCCTGAGCCGTCCAATCGGCCCACATCCCCGAGGCCCAGGCCACCGGCTCCGATGCGCCCAGCGCCGAGGCAGCCGGAGCAAGCATCTTCGCCTCAGGCGAAAATGCGGAAATTTCCGAACTCGGGGACGTTGCGATCCAGGCGGTCGGCGTTTGCGATTGTCCTTTCAAACCACCCACTTAGGTTTACCATTTAAGCACAGCAGCTGCAGCCGTTCCCCTCCAACCTCCAACAAAACCTAAAATGATCTGGGCAGGAAACCGTTTGGGCAGCCCGAATGTTGGATAGACAACAGGTTTGGTTAAGGTCTCACAAAGCATTGGGCCTGCCCAGTATCGTGTCACAACTTGTCCTCATTTGTCACAACACATTTCTTTTCACCAGAATCTAAAGCAATCGAACATGTGCTGATGAGCATGGCACAGGCCGTTGTTGAGCAATGAACAAACAACAAACCGCTGCAAACCAAACCATGTCCACTGTTCGTGGATTTTGACAGTCGAGTCAGCAAGCGCAACCGCTGGCTGTGGCACGTTCACTCATACATCAAAAACCTCAGCTCCAGACAATCGTCTCCAGACAGCTCAGATCTAACCTGCAGAACGTCCAGACTGGACGGCAAAGTCGCTTTGCAAGCCAAAGCCATGTGAGCCCCTTGTTCCCCACTGAGGACCAGGGAAAATGCGTGGGCCCCTGCGTCGCTTGCAACTAGTCCACTGCATATGGGGTGGGTCCCTGCTTGGCGAAGGAAACTTGGGTGGGCCCTGCGCAAACCAAACGACCAGCTGCCAGGATCTGAGAAGCGCGCCGCCACGCTGCAGTCTCCGGAGGAAATAACCCAACAAGGCCCTGCAAGGCCTGACAAAAGGCGGTAGGGTATAGACACGGACCCACTGAAAGCTACATCAAATCCACGGAGGTTTGAGATGGTGGTGATGCAATCAAGTTCCAATCTGAGACCTCTTTTGCGGTTCCCAAGGCAATCCGCCTCCTCGGCTTGAACTGCCGGCTTGATGCTGACCTAAAGCTCCAAACGGTAGCGAGTCAAAAGGGTCTCTCTCTTCCGTCCTTGGCTCTTCTGTTTCACCGGGACCGAACAGTGTATCAATATGGTCACAAGCAACCTGTCAACGGACATGAACTAATTCTTTGAACCCACGTCAGCTTAGCCACAAACTATGGCTCGACTGTCCTGTACTGTAAATCTGATGAATGGTCTCCAGTGGCGTTACATGGCTTCTATTCACCCCGATCTTGACTATGTTCGTGACGAAAAGTCCACTCACTACGCTGCTGCATCAAAGACAACCTCTAAGGAGTCCAAATTGACTGAGCAGATTGCGGCTCGTACAGCTTTGCTTGCCTGTCACTCCTCGTCCACTGTTGAAAGGAGGAATATAGAGAGAGAGGAAAAAAGAAAGAAAGAAAGAAAGAAAGAAAGAAAGAAAGAAAGAAAGAACGAAAGAAAGAAATAAAGAACGAAAGAAAGAAAGAGAGAAAGAAGAAAGAAGAAAGAAAGAAAGAAAGAAAGAAAGAAAGAAAGAAAGAAAGAAAGAAAGAAAGAATGAAAGAAAGAAAGAAAGAAAGCAAGAAAGCAAGAAAGAACGAAGGAAGGAAGAAAGAAAAAAGGAAGGATGCGAGCTTCCCTTGTTATGTCCGTCCCCTTCAATTCCACCCATGAAAATCCATTCCGTCTCCTCTAAAATGATCTGTGCTTGGCGCTCCAAGGCTACGGCCAGCGCGTCTTGCAAGAGCCGCTCGCAGTGCCTCAGGCAGTCTGGAAGACTGCCTGTGTCGACACCTGAGCCACGCAAAGGTCAGCCCCTAGTTGACTTCTCGCGCTGCTCAGCCTTGATTGTGTGAAAGGCAGCGTCGGATGGGAACCAATAAGTGCATGGGCGCTTGCGTGTTCGTGGGCGTGGGCGCGTGCGCGTGCGCGCGTGCGCGTTTGCGCGTGCGGGTGCGCGGGCGTGCGACGTGCTGTGTGCGTGTGTGCGTGCGTGCGCGTGCGTGCGTGCGTGCGTGTGCGTGCGTGCGTGCCAGTGCGTGCGTGCGTGCGCGCGTGCGTGCGTGCGTGCGTGCGTGCGTGCGTGCGTGCGTGCGTGCGTGCGTGCGTGCGTGCGTGCGTGCGTGCGTGCGTGCGTGCGTGCGTGCGTGCGTGCGTGCGTGCGTGCGTGCGTGCGTGCGTGCGTGCGTGCGTGCGTGCGTGCGTGCGTGCGTGCGTGCGTGCGTGCGTGCGTGCGTGCGTGCGTGCGTGCGTGCGTGCGTGCGTGCGTGCGTGCGTGCGTGCGTGCGTGCGTGCGTGCGTGCGTGCGTGCGTGCGTGCGTGCGTGCGTGCGCGTGCGTGCGTGCGTGCGTGCGTGCGTGCGTGCGTGCGTGCGTGCGTGCGTGCGTGCGTGCGTGCGTGCGTGCGTGCGTGCGTGCGTGCGTGCGTGCGTGCGTGCGTGGTGCGTGCGTGCGTGCGTGCGTGCGTGCGTGCGTGCGTGCGTGCGTGCGTGCGTGCGTGCGTGCGTGCGTGCGTGCGTGCGTGCGTGCGTGCGTGCGTGCGTGCGTGCGTGCGTGCGTGCGTGCGTGCGTGCGTGCGTGCGTGCGTGCGTGCGTGCGTGCGTGCGTGCGTGCGTGCGTGCGTGCGTGCGTGCGTGCGTGCGTGCGTGCGTGCGTGCGTGCGTGCGTGCGTGCGTGCGTGCGTGCGTGCGTGCGTGCGTGCGTGCGTGCGTGCGTGCGTGCGTGCGTGCGTGCGTGCGTGCGTGCGTGCGTGCGTGCGTGCGTGCGTGCGTGCGTGCGTGCGTGCGTGCGTGCGTGCGTGCGTGCGTGCGTGCGTGCGTGCGTGCGTGCGTGCGTGCGTGCGTGCGTGCGTGCGTGCGTGCGTGCGTGCGTGCGTGCGTGCGTGCGTGCGTGCGTGCGTGCGTGCGTGCGTGCGTGCGTGCGTGCGTGCGTGCGCGTACGTGGGCGTGCGCGTGCGTGGGTGTGCGCGTGCATGCATTGTTGAGTGCGATTGTGCATATGCACGTCGAGCGCGTGTGCTGTGCGTGTTCGAGTGCATGTGCAAGTGCGTGTTCGAGTGCGTGTGCATGTGCGGGCGTGCGGGCGTGCGGGCGGGCAGGCGGGCAAGCTGGCGCGCAAGGGCGCTGGCGCTTGCGTGCGCTAGTGCACGCGCGAGCGTGCGCTTGCGTGTGTGCGTTCTGTGGGCGTGCGCGGTTGTGTGTCTGTACGTTGTTTGCGCACTTGCGCGCTTGTGCCTTGTGCGTGTATGCGTTTGCTCGTTTGCGCGCTTGAGCATTTGTGTGCTTGTGCATTTGTGTGTTTGTGTGTTTGTGCGGTTTTGCGTTTGTGTGTTTGTGTAAAACCAAAAGGTCAGATCCTGTCGATTCGCTTTGAACAAAGAAACAGTTTTGGAGACAGCCAAAGGCCAAAAGCCTTCACGGACAAGGCCAGCCGAGTGCGGCACCCTGAGTCAACCCTTTCGACTCGTCGGAGAGGCCATCTTTGGCTGTCCTCGGACGGTGGGGTCTTCACATGGAAGGAAAAAGACGAAAACACATCGGAAAAACCTGTCTTTCTCCCCGTAAAATCGACCAGTTTTTTTTGAAGAAAAACTATTCTTTTTGAGAGAGCTTGGGAAATGGGACGGCATAATCCTTCAACAAGTCCGAGCTCAATCGTCTTGCAGCTAGTCCATTGGTTGCAGGGCCCCAAGGCCCCGAAATTTCCCGCAAACCTCGCGGGCCAGCGGGATATTCTTCTGTGGTTGCTTGACAAAAACGCCTTGATCAGATGCTGAAGCGGCGGTCAGATCCATAGGTGCAGCTTTCTGTTTGATGTTTGTTTTCTTCTTTTTTTGTTTAATACAAAGCTAAGACTTGCCGGCTTAAAACAAACGCCTGTCTCCCCACACCTGGTGCTGGCCCAAGGCCCTTCAATCCGCCCAAAGTGCCACAGGAGGTGAATGATGACTCGTTTCTTTCGGATGCCGAAAGCCCACTTTCTTAGGCGCGGCGTCCAAACCTTGGCCCATCTCAGAATCCAAGGAACGAAAGCGTGAGCAAGACGTACGAAAAACTCGTCCCCCCCAACGTTCAATATCCAATCCGGAACATTTGGCTATGGGTAAAAATCCAAATCGTACATCCCAATCCCCGCTAAAATAGGTTCTAAAATGGGTGGTGCACCGAAAACCCCCAAAATGGGATCCCATTGAATTTGACCCACAGCCATTTGGCATCCCCACCACGAACCTGAAAGTATTCGATCCCGTACCTTTCAGAAATGAGAAAGGTGGGGGGTCCCCAATTCCATCCATCTAGTCTAAGAGAAAGTGGAACCATAAATGGAGCTCCAGAATTCACCCGCCCATAACCCCCTCCCCCAATTCCATCTTTAGGTGGGGATGGCATTCGCCTTCAAAAACATCACCCAAAAGCTGAGCGCTTCTTGTGGCACCCGGAAAAGGTCGCTTTTACGGCCGAGGGAAAGAAATGGAAGGCCATACAAGCCTTGCTGAAAGTAGAACCTCCGGTGGGGGATTTCTCATCTTGCCCGCATTTTTGGGTACGCCATGGCCAGCCACCTTTGCTCACAAAAAGTAGTGCGTTAATTTCGCCCTGGTCTTGGTTGTTGTTGACCCCTCTCCAAAACGTTGCTAACTTTCAAAGTTCAGATCCACAGATCCGTTACCCATAGCAATCAAGACCTAGGTCTAAGGGTAGTTTGAGGGTCGTGGTTGATGTCAAAGGGACGCCGTCTCCAAAGAATGAAAAACAGACCACCCAAGGTTCCGCCATACATCAAAAGTTCATAACTTGTTGTGGGTCCAACTCGGAAAATCCCAGCTTCAACCAAAAAGTGTTCAACTCCAAAGCCCCGTTACCAAATGGCGGTGGGTCAAAACCGTTTTGGTAGCAATTTGGGGTAGGTGCACCACCCATTTTAGAACCTATTTTAGTGGGGATTGGTTGATGTTCACTGGGTATGGCCAAATGGCTGTGGGTCAAAAATATGTACCCAACATGGAACCCTGGTAAGTGGAAACATGGGTACCAAAACCCTGCGGTCCCTTGGTATTTTAATTTTGACCCATACCCAAATCGCCAGAAAGCGGTGGTCCGGGGCCCGGCTCCCTAGCTCCTCGAGACTCGATCCGATTCGCTCGATCCAAGCTGCGCCATGTCCAGAGATAAACCTCTCGGCCGCACCTCGGCATGGAATCGCTGCGGAATCGCTGCGGAATCGCTCGAGCCGTCTGGGGCTTTGGGCAAAGTAGTAGTGTCAACCCAGGATTAGTACACCAGGGGAATCTACAAGGGGAATCTAGCAGGGATCACACTTGCCCTTGAAACCTGCGAACCGATGACGAAAACTCCTTAGATTCATCAACGAATTCCTGCTTATTAATATAGGGGTGGCCCTGGCTGTAGGTTCAGGCCAGTTTTGGAGGGGAACACACCCGTAGTGACAAGCGGTGGGGGAATTGATCCGGGTCACTGGATTTCGCAATGTACTGGCGATGTCCATTGAAACGATCGCCACTTTTGGAGGTTCCAGACAGGGAAATGGGGGATACCCAGGGACAAGCGCAAGCGAAATCTGAATCCGTGTGTGTGTGTGTGTGTGTCTTTTTTGGAGGTTGTTTTTTGCTTGATGGTTTAAGGGTACCAGTCCGCCTTCCAAACGGGGGAACTGGCCGGGTGCGCGTTTGTTTTGGACCCGGCGGGCCCTGAACCAGGACACCAGGCATTCGGGGGCTTGTCCTTCTTTTGGCCCAGGAAAACCAAAAAGGACATTGTTTCGGGGGCGGGGGGGGGGACAGGGGGTCCTTAGGTTTTGAGTTGCAGTTGCTTTGGAAAGGGTGTATCGTCATATTGTTTGGAACCCTTGGGATTGGTTCGCCCAAACCCTCACAACCCCTCTCCAGGTCTACTGCAGGAAAACGCTCACTTCGGGGGGCCACGAGTCATTTGGGCGTCTTTTTCCCCCACTCGATATCTCAGAGGCGCCCCCCAAAACCTCCGGAAAACTCCAAGTTGTGTTGGGGAACCCCCCAAAACGGCACAATTACAACCACGTCAGCGAAATTCAGGGATCCGGATGCATGAGAAACACCTGAACATCGCAACTTGTAAATGGTGTTGTTTCCCTTTGCGGTGTTGTAGAAGCCACAAAGATGAATTTCTTTTTTTCGGAGCCCTGCGAAAGGGGGTATCCAAAAAAGGGAAGGCCCATTCGCAAGATTCCGACCCCAAAAGCCACTGCCCTCAGGACAAAAATCTGGTCGGAAGTCCAAAGACCGAAGTCCGACTCCTCTTTTCACACCTTCGCAGAGGGGTCCATGTCAAGAATGGCCTCACTTCCGTGATATTGTGGATGGACGAAATCCTGCACCACTTTGAAACCTAATCGGGTTTCGCGACTTTGTCCGGGTTGACTTCACTTTTGACACCATCCAAAAGGACCTTCGATTTAGGACACCCCTTGCAAGCCCTATGAGAGCATTCTGGTTCCCAAGAACTCCCCAATTTGATGACTCTGTAAACAAACTGCTGTTTGGTGTTTCTTGGAGGGGGGCCTCTCTTGATACACAAACATATTGTCCTCCCTGTGGGCAAGCTTTTGGGCAGTAGGCATTTTGATATATGTCAAAGATATGATGCCAACTACATTTGGGCATGGATTTGCGTCTGTGTCTGCATGGGCAGTTGCGTGCGCAAAAATAAAACACCTTACACTGGCTATAGTTTGCTTTTTTTTTTCTTGGGGCCCATTAAGGATTACCCCCCCCTCCCTCTAACATGGCAACCAGTAGGCCCCTAGAGGAGCTTGTTTCAGGTACCCTCCAACCCTCCAAGGTCACACCCTTCCCATGGCACCCCCCGCGGCTCTAAATGGGTATCTTGGTTTGAAGATGCCCCTTGATGTTGACCAGGGATTGATCCGGAGGGCCGTACTTTTCCGGAGTGCACGGTTCCCTTGACCGGTTTCGCCGGATTCCGAAGCTCAACGGCAAAGGGAGACCAAAGGAAGAAAGGAGACCAAAGGAAAAGGGAGACCAAAGTAGTCTTGTCCAAAGTTCACATGGTACATCATGGTACCAACTCTTTTTAAGGGAAGTTCACGTTTAAAGGGAGACCAGGGGAAAACCGCCCATTTCATGGACCCCCATGGCTCACTCGGCCAAATCCACACGCCGAGCGGCTGGGCGAATCCGTCGAATCCACAAGCCGCCGGGTTCGAGCCCGGTGCGCGGACGTGGGGCCGGATGTAGGGCCACACTTGTCTTGTTTTGAAGGTCCCCTTTCAGTTGGTGTACACGGAAAAACCAAGAGAGAGAGAGAGCGAGAGGCTATGAAAAGAATAGAGAGAGGAGAGAGAGAGAGAGAGAGAGAGAGAGATAGCAATAGAGAAAGGTTGAGAAAGAGAAAGAGAACAAGAAAGAGAAACAAAAAAAAGAAGGAGAAAGATCTTTAAATCAGTTTGGAATATTTATTGTGGATTTCCCTCGTTTTTTGTCTGTTGGTCCTTTTAGTAATGTGTTTGTCCTATATTCGACTGGAATGAATCCACAAAAAACGCATCCAAGCCGCTATCTAGAAAAGACGACGGAAGAGAAAGAGAAAGAGAAAGCGAAAGAGAAATAGAAGAACATGAGTAAGAACGAGAGAAAGAGAAAGAGAAAGAGAACGGGAAAGAGAGAAACAAAAGCATAGATAAATAGCACAGTAAGCTAAAGACAGAGCGAGAGAGAGCAAGAGGAAGAGGAAGAGGAAGACCAAAAGAAAGGGGAGAAGAAGAAAAGAGAAAGATAAATATAAAGAGATCAAGGGGAGACAAAGAAGTAGTTGCTTACATTCAATACATGTCATGTCTATGCCATAGTATGCACCCACATGTACTGCACTGCGCCGAATTTCAAGCCGTCAACAACACCTAGGCAACGACCGGGGAAGGGCAGGGCGCGCGAGTCAAAACAGGGGGGCCCAACAAATTGCGTGTGTTATTCTTGCGTGTCTCCTTATCAACCCGAAAAGGGTATCCAAACAACACACACCCATAGAACCCTACGCATATTGGAATCAAGCACCTACCAGCAGCGGTGTGTCCATCAACAGCAGGAGGTCTTTTCTTGATTCTTCTTCCATGCTCGGTGTGTGTGGTGCTATCTGCATATATTTTGTCCAACAGTTGGGTAGTCATCGCCTTTCCCCGTCCGGGAGGTACCCCGAAAACCTGGCTGAGGGGAATTCGGGGAAGCAGAACTCCCGGAAAGCGCCCCCCTTTTGGTGGGTTCTGGACCCATGATTTTGCCACCGTCAAAGCCACCTGGTTGAAGAACTATCAGACTATCACCCCAGCTGGATTTGGACGCGTTTCATCCGGGCTCCACAAATTCGGCGCTTGCAACTCTCCCAGCAGTGGCAACTCTCTAGGGCCGTGGCACGTGGGTCCTTCCCAGGGTCATGGTCACCTGGCGCGCAATGAAAAAATGATGAGCCAAGCAGCTTCTTGTGGTTGGCAGCGTCCCACTGCGAAAAGGAGGCAGGGTACTCAGTAGGTGGTTAGTAAGCCTAGTTATAACCCACTGAATGGAGATTTATAGACATGGCTTTGTGGGTTATAAACACGCTTGCTACCACTTGACGTGCAATGCCCCGTGAAGCAAAGATCGCCCCTTCCCCTGGGTGGTTTGCATTGGTTCGGAACTTTGCGGGGGTGTACTCTTCGGTTTGCTCAACCAAGGTTCGAGCCCCCAAACCGCCAAATCTGGCTTACATCCGCAGATAGCCGAGAAAGTGCTTTGCGAGATTGTTGGCCGGGTGCTAGCATGAGCTGTTGAAAACGCAGCACTGCAGCGGATGACAAGCATCATATGGCTGTGGGTCAAAACCCAGGAAACCCCTGGTGAACATCAAAATAGGTAGCAGATGGATGTTCATCCACCCCAAAATGCCACAGGTCATGCCCCATGGCCATATCTCCTCTCTCTCCTTCCTTTTTCTCGCTCAAAAAGAATGCACCGAAGAGTAGGAAACCGCACTCTGGTTTATCCCCGGCCTCCCAAGAATCTCCTATGACTTGATGCCCCCAAGCAAAATGCACCGAAGTCTCCGTCCTTTTTCTCGCTCAGCCTTCCTTCCGCTTGTAGTACTCGGCGACCTGCGGCAGCTCGTAGAACCTCTTCACGAAGGCGCGGCAGGCTGGGAAGGCCTCGAGGTCGCGCAGCTCCGGGGTGAAGAGCCGGTCCTTCCTTGGCACCACCCATTAAACCAATTTTAGTGGTTGGATTGGGATGTTCACTGGAGGTACGATTTGGATTTTGACCCATGGCCATGTAGAATACTAGGCTGGAATTCGGACCACAGCCAAAAACTGTATTTTTGTTGCCTGGTTAGTGGAAAACAACGGGAACCCCAAAAAAGCAACAACAAATAAAAAGGGGGACTCATTCTGGCAAAGCTTCGTGGGGAGGTAGTCCCCGAAGCGGCAGGCCCATACAAAATCCGCGGGCGAGGGGCATTTGGTGTCGGCGATCCAGCCGCTGGAGCTCGCCTTCAGCTGGGCCTCGATGCTCGCGAAGTGCCGCGGCATCACCTCTGCGCTCAGGAGCGCCGCTGCCTTATCCACCTGAGCAATCAAAACCGATCGGTAATTAAAACCCAAAACCAATTGAAAGAACTACAAAAGCGGATCTCCGCAACTAACCTTGCTAACCCTACTATTTTTCCCCTACAAAGCCTTCACTTCCCCGACTTGTTTCTTTTAGGACCTGGCTGCACCCATGTATGGCAAGGGGCTTGTCCCTAACCTTCACCTACCCCAATGGGCTTTTGGTCTTTTGATCTTGCTTGCCGCTCGCCTGGCTGTCGCTCAGCTCGATGCCGAAGCGCACGGTGTAGGAGGCCACCGTCGGGCCCACGAAGGCGTCCGCCTCCTGATCCAGCGCCGCGTCCACCCGGGCGGCCTGGATCCTTGGCTGGAATTAGGACCCCGGCCAAAAAACTTTATTTCTGTTGCCTGGTTAGTGGAAAACAAAACAAAACAAAAACAAGAAAGCAAAAAAACATGAAAAAGGGGAGCTAATTCTGGGGATGGATCGGGTCTGAAGGGTACAAGTCGCCGCCGGCAATCTTGGCGAGGTAGCCTTCCACGTGCTCTTCAGCCCCCCAAGAGAATAACTAAAAGAAGTGTCCATTCCTTTTCTTCTGTGGGAAAACAAAAAATAGAAACCGCTTCAGCAAATGGAAGACCAAAAAAAGTGCTTAAGCCATCGACGTGGCGGAGGATCGCGGCAGACTGCGGGATCCGTGTGGTTTTGTCCACTTCCAGCAGCGGGACCTGGCCGTAGGGCAGCGTGCCGTCGGCCTTGAGCGCCGTAAACCTTAGCGGCCCCACGTGGGACCCAGAAATTAACGGTTCACCTAAGGACCCCCTGCGGGACTTAAGAAACCCCTTAAGCCAGGTCCTCCAGATTTGAGAGGTCAGAATAAGTTGGTACCAACTTTTTTCTGTAGTCTATTTTAGTCGGGGAACCCTCTCCCAAAAAAGGGTACAAGGGCGGACCTAGTAAGGGACCCCTTCAGGGACCCTGAGATGATCACCATGGTTTTTTGGGCGGACTCCGAAAGGGGGAAAACCTTTTAGTCAGCTCCGGCTAGGACAGCTGCGAAACTCCTCGCGGTCGGCGAATCTGTAGTCCTCAAGCTCGAGGCCCGCGTAGGCGCAGAAGAGACGGATGGCCTCGCCCTTGCCGGTGATGTTGAAGTAGTACAGCTTCAGAGAGGGCTGGCTTGCCATGCGTTTGCTCATCCGCGATGCGTCTTTTGCTTTTTTTGGCGCGATACCCGAGACTGGAGCCTTGTGCAAGTTTAGGCTTCAAATGGCACAACGGTGACCGGCATGATGTTCCCCCTGACACAACTCAATGGTGTTGCAAACACCCACCCGGAGGCTACTTCAGTTCTGGACAAATACGTTGCTTCCATGACGTACATGGGATAATCAAAGAGTCCTCCTTTTGGGTGTTGAAGTTTAGAGAGTCCCCGATGTCTCCAACCGCCTGTTGACCACGGGATTTGGACGAAGGTTCCTATGCCAACAGTTGTTGGTCACCTAGGTTATAACCCATCCCCCAAGTTTGGACTCAACCTGCGTTCTTTTTGTTTTCTCCTTTCTTTTAGCGGCCTTTATGTCTGAGACAATAATGAATCCACCCTCACTTTGTGCAGCCTTTTGCTTTAGGGGGGCGAAAACCCGTGTCTAACCACTTAGCTTGGGCAGGGCCGAGCATCCAAGGACACCTTCGGCGGGCAGCATTTTGGTGTCGTTTCATGGCCCATCCCATCATTCATGCGCGTCTTTCTGCGGGATTCCCGTGTATCCCATGCAGAAAATTCCCCTGAAGTAATCAGGGCTCGAATGCACGGAATATTTGACAGGAACCATTTGGAGAAGGTGGTTTAGCAGCTTAACGATGTCTACATTCTATTCTCACGGATTAGAAAACAGCTGTCATAAATAGGATCCACGCAGTGTGCATTTCAATTGGTTGGACTTTTTTGGTGGACATGCCTTTGACGCGCCCCAGGTGTATAAACAGGGGTCTGTTTATGAGGTAATGTCAACTTCAGATAAATCCGGACAGTACTAATCAGGGCGGATGAATCCAAAGTTGGCCGAAAGAAAACCGCCTCCGAACCCGAAGCCCCGAAGCCCCAAAGGCCCAAAGGCCCAAAGCGCGCCTAGTGAGACCACCTGCCTTGCCTTCGGCCAGACCTCAAGCGCAAAGACTTGGATTCGGATGCGCGCATGCGAACGCGACGTATTCGCGGGTGGAAAAGTCGGAGGCGAAGGTGGCTCGTCTTTTTTAGGACTTGGACCCCGCATTTTGTTTTAGGATTTGAACCCCGCAAAAGGATGGCTTCCCTTTTGGCTTCCCTTTTCTAAGCAAATGGCTACACGCAAAACAGACAAGCCCATTCTGCACCAGCTGCGAGTCCTAATTCAAGAACTGTGCGTTGCTGGACTTCAAAGGCGACAACTTGATGCCAGGAATCAAGCATTTACCTCTCTGCAGACTAACATGGAATGTAGTGGCCCATGGACGAATCCGGGTTTAGTTCTTCCAGACTCGCCGCTACGCAAAATATCCACCAATGACTCTATATAAGGTGAAAACAACATCGCCCGAAGGTGGAGGCGCACTCTGAAGTGCAGCAACTCCCTGGCATTTGAGAACTCTGCATGCAAACAATGGAAAGAGCCGTTAGTCTTATAAAGGGGCACCAAGCAAAAACGCAACCAAAATAAGCTCAGGTGATATCCCCAACAGCACGCGGTGCTCTTTTTAGTGCTCGCACCACCCCGCAGAACCTCGCGAAACCCGTGGAACCCTGGTGAAACTCTGGTGAAACTCTGGTGGAACCCTGGTGCAACCCTGGTGGAACCCTGGTGGAACCCTGGTGGAACCTTACCACACAGCCGCCCCGGACCATCCCGGAGCGTATCTGGGCTGAGACCCAAAGCTTTCAGCTGTTGGAGAACCTTACACCTGGCCTGCCCGAAACCTCACCTGGCCTGCACCAAACCTTACCCTAGCCTGCACCCCAGAACCTCCGGCCTGCACCAGACCACCCCGGAACCTCCGGAACCTTGCTCGAACCTGACTCCAGAGCTCCGCCAAGCCACCCCCAAACCTTATCTGGGCTGAGACCCCTTAGCTTTCAGCTGTTGGGGGAAAAAAAAAGTGGCAAGGGAAGTGTCCCTTGCCTTCACTTGCCCCCTTAGCGGTTTTGAGGGTGCAGCTCTGAGAGAGTTTTGACGACTTCCTTTTTCCTTTTGGTGGTCATCCAGCGATAGCCGACGCCAGCTTTGCCCTCCTTCCAAGAACCATGGAAGCGGACACCAGAGTTTTTTGGAAAGAAAGAAGTCTTCCACAACCCTCCTGTCTGCTTCCATGTTTGTTGGAGATATGTGTCCTACAACTGGAACCGCCAAAGCCATTGTTGGACAGAGCCATGTCTGTGATATCAAAGTAGGGTTTCCATCCTCTTCATCAAATGGGAGGGGAACCAAAGGCCACCCCCTCCAGCCCATCCAGGAAAGGTTCCGAAGGAACCTTCTGATCGTTGGGTTCTCAGAAGGCGGATCCTCTCCTGAATAAAACCAGAAGCACCAAAACTCGGGTATCTTTTAGTTCATGGCTGCGACAAGTAACCACTTCTTTTGACAAACTAGGGGTGTCCATCCCTATGACTACACTAAAGCTTGAACGGGGATTCTTTGGGCCACTCACAGAAAACAGTAACCTTACCCCATTGTCGCATATGGAAGATTGAGGGTCCCTTGACATTGCCCAGAACAATAGCGGGTTGATGTCGGACTCCTGCGAAGTTAGTCGGAAAGACTCATTTTGCCCATCGCAAGGCGAAAGATTCCAAAATAGATCAACCAACAGCCGGCCAATCAGGGGTGCTGGATTTCCCCGAAAAAAAGTTGCAATTCTCTGCGCTTCTGGAGATTCCAAAAAGGGAAATGGAGGAACCCTGCCAATTCTCGGACGGACGCTTTGAGATGCTGGGTGGCGGGCAGAACAATACGCGCCATCAAACCCTGTCGCCTGCAAAACATCTCACTCGCTGACTGCTTCTCGCCGCAAAAAAACACATCCGGTCTTTTTGTGGACATCTTGTGCTCGTGGATTTACGGGTGTGTCCTTGTTTGGGGGACCCCCAAAATGTGCTTTACCTTTTTGCTTGATGTTCAAAGGCACGGAGAAAAAAAAGGTACCCTGGAAGACGACCACCCATATGTTCACCAAGCATTTTGTAGGATCATATTGGCTTTCCTTTTAAGCCATTGTGGGCCCTATTTCGCTGCAAGGCCACCAGAGCCCTGGACAAGGAGCTGGGATGCCATGGTCAGACCTTTGCGGTTGATCGCGGGTCTGGAAGCCATGCCTGAATGGCACACACTTGTTAGCAAAACCTTCCAGTCAGCAAGTTCAGCACCACAGCTCATCGCTCCCAAGCCCGCACCTCTGAGGATCCTCACTGAAACGTTGATGACTATCCCTACTCCATTCAAATAATTCAAGTAAAAGGTTCTTTTGACCATGGCACATATCAGTTGGGTCACATTTGGGAAAGGATACATCGTCAGCCTAGCCCTGCCAGTAGATGAAGCTTTCCCGAATGGCCACGAGCAGGCCGGCGCCTGAACTCTGCCAGAGATTGAAGGACCTGGCAGGCAGGAGACTTTCTCAGAAACTCTGCCCCTGGGTGGCTCGCCTTTTTTAGGGGAGGCCTCAAAATGTGTGTGTGTGTGTGTGTGTGTGTGTGTGTGTGTGTGTGTGTGTGTGTGTGTGTGTGTGTGTGTGTGTGTGTGTGTGTGTGTGTGTGTGTGTGTGTGTGTGTGTGTGTGTGTGTGTGTGTGTGTGTGTGTGTGTGTGTGTGTGTGTGTGTGTGTGTGTGTGTGTGTGTGTGTGTGTGTGTGTGTGTGTGTGTGTGTGTGTGTGTGTGTGTGTGTGTGTGTGTGTGTGTGTGTGTGTGTGTGTGTGTGTGTGTGTGTGTGTGTGTGTGTGTGTGTGTGTGTGTGTGTGTGTGTGTGTGTGTGTGTGTGTGTGTGTGTGTGTGTGTGTGTGTGTGTGTGTGTGTGTGTGTGTGTGTGTGTGTGTGTGTGTGTGTGTGTGTGTGTGTGTGTGTGTGTGTGTGTGTGTGTGTGTGTGTGTGTGTGTGTGTGTGTGTGTGTGTGTGTGTGTGTGTGGTGTGTGTGTGTGTGTGTGTGTGTGTGTGTGGTGTGTGTGTGTGTGTGTGTGTGTGTGTGTGTGTGTGTGTGTGTGTGTGTGTGTGTGGTGTGTGTGTGTGTGTGTGTGTGTGTGTGTGTGTGTGTGTGTGTGTGTGTGTGTGTGTGTGTGTGTGTGTGTGTGTGTGTGTGTGTGTGTGTGTGTGGTGTGTGTGTGTGTGTGTGTGTGTGTGTGTGTGTGTGTGTGTGTGTGTGTGTGTGTGTGTGTGTGTGTGTGTGTGTGTGTGTGTGTGTGTGTGTGTGTGTGTGTGTGTGTGTGTGTGTGTGTGTGTGTGTGTGTGTGTGTGTGTGTGTGTGTGTGTGTGTGTGTGTGTGTGTGTGTGTGTGTGTGTGTGTGTGTGTGTGTGTGTGTGTGTGTGTGTGTGTGTGTGTGTGTGTGTGTGTGTGTGTGTGTGTGTGTGTGTGTGTGTGTGTGTGTGTGTGTGTGTGTGTGTGTGTGTGTGTGTGTGTGTGTGTGTGTGTGTGTGTGTGTGTGTGTGTGTGTGTGTGTGTGTGTGTGTGTGTGTGTGTGTGTGTGTGTGTGTGTGTGTGTGTTGTCCTTTTCTTGCTGGTGCGAGAGATGCTGGGAATGAGACATGGAATGACCCTTATAAGCCATCCAACTGGTGGTTTCCTTTAAGGGGACTTCTGGGTTCATTCCCGCATTCCCTATCGCACCAGCGGGGACGCACCCACACGCTCTCTTGAATTAAGCCATTGACCCGGTCCCGCAACTTCCCGTTTTTGAGGAGGCTCGTCTGTTTTGCAGGTCTCCATGGTGAAAAGGGGTGCCAGGGCCGAGGAATTCTCATAGAGGTGCTGGAACGGCCATATTATGGGGCTTTTTGGGGCTGTCTGTTTTAGGGGAACCCCCCCAAAATGCTGCTTTTTTCTTTTCGTGTCCCTTTCAACCACAAGAAAGGGGCAGCCTCCATAAATAGCCGAGCCATGCCTTTTCGCGCGAATCAGCGAGATCGAACCAGGCCAGCACCGCCCGGAAAAACGCCATCCACCGGAGATCGCTTGCTGCCTCGGATTCAGAGCGGGGCTCCGCGTCCTGTTGGCCCTTTTGGAGATTGACATGGAATCCAAGAAACGGAATCCCGCGCTCGAAACCCCGAAAACCAAGCCCCGAAATCTTGGGGAACATCGGAACCGGAAGCCCCTCGCACTTTCGGCCACAAGAGCTCCTTCCCAACTCTTGGTAAAAAACAACTTCTGCAACCTGCTGAAACTTGCACAGAACCCGAAAAGCCAAAGACTCCTATCTAACCTCTTCAAAAGCATGAGGCTGTGGCTGGTCGCGACACACCACATCTCATTATCATGGCTGCAAATTGTCTAGAGTTCCCACGCTTGTTTTTGAAACAGCACCCGTAACTAGTGCCGACAGCCAATGTGTTGTTCGGATGCGTGCCTTGCGATCTCGCTACTCTTGCCAAGCTGCTAGAAGACAGGAGCGGCACCAAGGGTGCTCCACTCATGGGATTTCTTGGACCTCGGCTCGGCAAAGAGCATTGCTCGATTTGGGAGGAAAAAACGACTCTGGGATCTGTGAAACGAGTGTCCGATTTTGAGGGTACCCTTTTTCGCGTGGATTTACAGTGATACCAAAAGGAAACCCATCATTTTGCGGTACCCTAGAAAAGACACACGCATATAATATAGAGATGCCATGCCGGTCGAAACCCATGGGTCCATCCTTTACAAAAAAAAATGAGTACACTCCTCGCTCAAATTCGACGCCTGCCTGAACTTGCCACCAGAACAAGGCAAACCTGCCAACCTACCAACCTATCAGCCAACCTACCTATCTACCAACCTACCAACCCACCAACCTCCAACCTGCCACCCAACCAACCTACTAACCTATCTACCTACCGGCCTCGCTACCAAACTTGGCAGCCCTCAGGCACCAGCATCACTGACACGTGGCTGATGGACCAGTCCACTGAGGTACTGCCGTTCTTGAGGAAGGGAAGCTGTGCGGCCTGGCCGTCCGTGCACCCGCGAGAGCGCGAGCGCGCGCGGCCTTGGGGGAGAGATGTGGGGCGAACCGCCGCTGGCCCCTTCTAGGTCCTCCAGATTTAAGAGGTTAGAATAAGTTGGCACCAACTTGGTTCTGTAGTCTATTTTAGTAGGGGAACCCTCCCCAAATAAAAGGATGTAAACGGGCACCTAGCTGGGGGAGCTAGCCTTGAAAGCCTCTCGCACGCGATCCCTTGGTAAGCTGGCAATGATCCGTCCTGAAAAAGACCAGCCAGCCTTCCATCTGACAGAAGTGTTTTGGGCGTGCGAATTCCCCACAGTACTTCCCCTCTTTGGTGGGTACCAAACCCTACATGGGAGGCTAGAAGCACCCACACAAATGGGTCACTCTTGGCTTGCCAAAAAAACGCACCCAACCGCAAGCGCGCGACCGCTCTCGGAAGCTTAGGCTTCACCCCGTGCCTTGCCAAACTTGTTTGTCTTCAGTGGCTTCAGCGAGCCGGCCTTTGCGCGCGGAACGAAAACTCGTCGGTGCAAACGGTGAAGCCAAGCGGGTTACCTTCCACACAGCAAAGGGTCAATGAACACTCCAGATGGGTCCATACTCTCCCTTCCAAAAAGCTTTAGGATTCCGCAAATGAAATTGGCAGGTGTTTGGCGGTTTCTCAGTTAACAGTCCTTTGCAGAACACATCCAACGCTTGCCACTTGGATCGGCTGAAAATCGGCTCCACTCATGGACCTTGTGAGGTTTGGTGCGATAGCTGGGGCATAAGGGAACCGGAAGGAATTCCCTTAAAGGAAACCACGAGACAGGGTGTATGGGGGTTCCTTCCCTGACTTCCTGCTGAGAACCAACAAGTTTTGGAGTTGTCACGCATCGAGGGGCCCTTTCAGATTCAGAGGACCAAAAAGGAGGCGCCCTATTCACTTTGGAGGTTCATTCCCTGATTTCCTGCTGAGAACCAACAAGTTTTGGAGTTGTCACGCATCGAGGGGCCCTTTCAGATTCAGAGGACCAAAAGGAGGCGCCCTGCTCACTTTGACACATGAATCGCATGGGTCAAAAGAGGTGGTTCCGGTCATGGAAGAAAGCGAGTGGCTCGCGCCCTGGATCTTGAAACTTAGCCCGCCTCCCAATTGCCCCGAACCCCAAATGAGCCAAAGATAAATCTAGATATGTTGCAAAAACCTCATGTTCCAACGGGTTCGAACCCGAACAGGGGCCACGACTGGAAACAAATTTGAAATTAGTGCCACCAACATTAAAAAACAAACACTGACGTAAAACAAACACCTTCAATCCACCCCCCAATGACATACTCACTTCCTGAGTGGATTAGCCAGAAAACGTATGATGTTTATCTATCCCTAAATGTGTCGTTCCAAGAAGTGACTAAAGTCCGGAAACTCTGGGTTCGCGTGTGTTACTTTAAAACTGACCAGTCAGGACAGGCCTGCAAGAAAAAGGCAAGAGGTAGCGCAAAAGGAAACCCAAGCCCCGTTTGGGGTTCCCAGACAGAAGACATGTACCCCAAGCAAACGAACTGACCCAAAATCGAGAACACCTACCAATGTTGACCCCTTTATAATAAACCCACCCTAGCAAATTGGGGGGGAGGGGGGGGTGGGGGAAGGGAACAGAACGCCTGTGAACGGATTCCAGGAATTGGTAACTCGATGAGAAAACGAACAACATCTCGAGCTCTGCTTTGCATCCCTTGGTTTCTGTCAGGGCGTGTCTTTCTTTGATGGTACCTGTATTTTTTGTTTTTTTCAAGGGAAACCAATTGGTGGGGTTCCCATGGAACCAAAATTCCCCCCCCCCCATGTCCAAACTGGGCTCTCCGTTGTCGTTGTCTGATCCCTGCTAAAAGTGAGTCTAACACTTTTTGTAGGGTTCAATTCGGCAACCCAACCACTAAACCAACTAAAAAGATCTAAAAGGCTAAGTTGAACCGGATGCCTGGGAACCACCAGGATTTTTATTTTTATTGTTTTTAGTGTTGTTGCTGTGTTCTTGTTTTTTTTTGGGGGGAGGGATCCTTTTGGCCGGTTTTCCAAAAAAAGCCACAAGGAACACCGACATCCACGGGGAAAATCCCATCGTGTCCCGGGCCGATGAGCACCGGGAGCCCATGGAAGGTGTGCCGATGCGGTCCTATGCTCTTCGAAGCGGTTCGGAGTCCAAAGTTGGGGGAAATTCTCCCGGGGGAATTGGCGGCTTCATTGGTGGGGTTTTGGTGTTTTGGTTTTTTTTGGGGGTGGGTTTTGGGTGTTTGGGTGTTTGAGGGTTTTGGGGGGTTTTGGGATGCATTCCATGGAGATTTTCAGACGCCGGGAGTCGTCCACCCCTCGTCAAAATATCTCTGGGTGTTTTTGGAGCTACAGTTGTCTATGATACCTCAAATCCCCCAAAACCTGGATCAATGGAGAGACTTGGCCGTGGAGAAAAAATTGGGCGAGCCCAGGAAACCAAATACATTTAGGAGTTGAAAACCCCTTGATACGCAACCATATTTTTCAAGGGAATAGGTGCATACCTTAGTTGGCTGGGTGCCAAACAGGAGATCTGGGAGACATTGAACAAATCCCGGTCCTATGACGTTTGAGAAGCCCAGAGTGCTTTTAAAATCGTGGGTAGGAATCAGTGGGACATATACCCCCTTCTCAACCCCAGAGTTGGGGAATTGAATGGTTTTGTGGAACGGAACCCTTTAGCACGGAGAAAACAACAAACAGTGAGAAAACAAGCAGTTGCCAGCCCAAATGGGCGGTTCGGTACCCGCCGATTTCGGGCTTAAGTGGGTGTTGGGTTTTGAGGGTGTGGTTGCCTTCGCTTCATGTTTGGCAAACATCGGGACTCCTCGCCGCAACCCCGTCCCCTTGGCTGGCTTCCTCTAATGGCCTTCTTCTGCGAGGCCTTGCTGCCTGTGGAAACCGGGAGGTTGGCATTGGGCCCGGTTCATTGGATCTCTCCGATCAAACACACAGTTGTCCCGCTGAAACCAAAGGGGCGGAGTCCAATCTCTGAGATGAGTTCCAGCCACAAACCCCCTACCCCCAGGGTAAATTGGGGTATATACCCTTTATATAGTGGCAAGATAGTGGCTGTATATCTTAGACAATCCCACTGTGGATGGTTGCAAAATCAATTTCGCACCCCGAAATGAAACCATGGCTGAAACCATTGTTTGATATGTACAGGGGAATCGAATCATTATCTTGGGTTTTTCCTAACGGTGCTGCATTGGACGGAAAAAAATCGCACCGCTCAGAAACCCTACAGTTTCTGACTCGATTCCCATGCAAATACCATGTCCTGTGCAGGTCGCTGAACGCTGCGAAATGGGC